TATCCAGCACACATTCTAAATTTAGCTACCATTACCATCCACTGTATGTACATTAGGTATACATTATGTTGTACTTCTGTTTTTATTTTCTGTAAATAGTAGTGCACTCCAAAAACACATTTAAAAAAATGGGGTGCGTTACGTTGTAAGTACTGCAAGCTGCTACAGTATCTGGTGTGCATTCTGAATGGCTCGATCTGCATTAGAAATTAATGCAAGGTATGGGGGCTTTATGTAAGCCATAAAGGAATGGCATAAAGATATCAGTCATTTGTCATAGGAGAAGTACTGAATGCCTGTTTGCTGACATAGATGACATAGATGTATTTTCTTGATATTTTTTTATCTGTGGGTAAAGCATCTGTTAAAAACCAGAAAGCTTAGTTTATGAGAGAATGGTTAGAATAAGAGATGCCAGGTTGCAAACACTGAAGGAAAAGACTTGAAAAAGAAGCAACGGAGGAAGTACAGACAAAAGATCGAATAGCAGTAGAGTTAAGAAAGTAAGAGGGGCTTGAAACAGTGAAGGAAGAACTCGGAAGCTAGAATGTGGACCTGAAATTTCCTGTAGTAACTATATCTGAAATGAAGAAAGAAGTGCAGTTGAGATAGATGAAAATTGTTGTTTTCATTTTTTCAAAGTAGGGGGAAAGGTTTAGTCTAGAATAACTGACTGACTTAAGAAGTGTTATCTGCAGGCCACAGGAAATGGCATAGGCACGTGTTAAAAGTAAGTTCGTATGGAGCATAATAAGACTAGAGATGCAGGTAGGAAAAAGATAATTTTGGAAAAGATGAGGAATACACTGATAACAAGAACACTTCCTTTCAAGAGGGTTAGGCATACTTTTGACAAAATGTCAGGAGATGTTGTAGTCTGCAGAGAAAGATGATGAAGTTAACGGACGTACTGAATAACCACTGTTGAATGTTTACAGTACATAGCTACTGAAATGAAGGTTGTATTTTAGACTTTGTGTAGTAGCTAGTGTTGAACTGTTAGTTGGATAAATTGAAGGAATAGGCAAACATCCACAGAACTAGCATCTTAATATGTTTATATTTAGAGGCAATTTGTTTATACAGTATAACCAACTAGCTATGTATACAGATGAGCCAGATAGGTAGAAAGGCTGTTTCCTTAAGCCACCACTTTAAAATTAATCCTCAGTGAGTAATTGTTGCCATCTCATACTGGGTTTTTATCACTGTGTATAGTTACACAGTGTCTTTAATTACATCCATTTTCTGATATCTTTATCCAGTACAGGGGAGCTTGAGCCTATCCCAGCAAGCAACAGGCGCAAGGCAGAATACTCCCTGGACTAAATGCCAGTCTATCACAGGGCAGACACACAGACACAGAAACACACACACACACTCACACCAGGGCCAGTTTTCCCATGAGCCAATTAACCTGCCAGTATGTTTTGGACTGCGAGAGGAAATAAGATTACTAGAGGAAACCCATGTGAACCCAGAGAGAACTCCACCCTTAAAAAATCACTTAAAAACTTGTGATTCTAATCACTTAAAATCACAAAACGAACGATCTGTTTTTATAAAATAAGAGCTCAGATAGTGCCTACCTCACAAGGAAATTTAAGCTGCAAAAGTAGAAAATGAAATTTGTGTCAGTGAGCTTTCAAGGTTGTCTTTCAAGCTTAAAAATCAGGTTTTACTTATACTGTACCCCAGAAATTGAACCTAGGGCCCCAGCTGTGCAAAATAGCAATGCTTATCCACCACTATAAATGAATGGATAGATAGTTAAATCACAAAGATGTGCATGCATAATTTAATTTTGAAAGCCACGGAGACATTTTTTTTATGAAAAGAGTTTTTATGAAAAAAAAGATACAAAAAGCTGCTAACCACTGTGCTACTTTGTTCTTTAGTTAATACATTTACTTTTTATAAACAGTTAACATTGTTATAGTTGATTGTTAGCAAAATATTTTAAATTATATTCTACCCTAATTTTTTAGAATTTTTACTTTTTAGTATTTACTATTTTCTGATAGTCAGGTTTGATGTATATTTGAACAAAATCTTGTAAATTCATATTTTTACAAGATGTGTAAAAAGTGCAACAATTTATTACAGTGCAAATTTTAATATTACACACAAAATAGCAAAGTAAATTTCTGCTTTCATCATTCTGTTGCAAATGTTAAAAAACATTTAAAAAAATAAAATACTGTTACCATTACTGGCAGTGGCCATTGTGGTGTCTCAAGAATCTGGAGCAGGGGTAGGCAAACTTTTATGTCCCTAGGGCCACATAAAATTTTGAAACTGTATAGTAGGCCACTTCAGGCTGCTGTTACAGATAGCCTATGCCCTATATAAGTTTAGATTCCAACATAGGCTTATTAGTTCAAGGTTAACAATAACTTCAGAGAAATAAATATTTCAAATATAAAAAAATAAAAATTGAATAAAACTTGATTTTTAACTCACAAGCCAAGTCTTCACAGATTACCTCTACAGGATGGGTAACTGTTCTGTGTGATACACTTATTTTCTCAAATTTGTTTTTGCTCTCTGGACAAAAAATATCTATGGTTTCTATCATGCACTCCTTCAAAAGCTCCCCCTTCAGAGAGCAGATTTCTTTGTTTAGCAATTGTATATGCAAACGCTGCATTCACTGTCAACTTTCTGCTTCTTCAGTCCACTCATTTTGACACAGATTCCCTCACAGTATGATGGACCCACTCTGACTGGTGAATCACATTGGTAAAGCAGGGGTTCCCAAACCTTTTTGAGTCTGTGCCTCCCTTGACCTGTCAAATTTTCCACATACCTCAAAATAAGTCAAAATAAGTTCTATGCCAGTGCAATATTTTACAAAAGATTATACATTGAAAAGGAAATGATGGGTCAAAAAAAAAAAACAAAGATGATCCAATAGGTTTGATCAAAATAGTAAAAATACTTGACAACACATTTTATTGAAATTATTTGAATGTGCAAACAATTTGAAAAAATTAAAAAATAGTCAACATCTTTGTAAAATAAAAAGACTAAATAAAAATGTAAAAATCTAACAATGTTTTTTTAAAAAGGGGGAGAAATAAAACGTCTTTTTGTTTGTGCCTCTTAATGGGTAGGTGGGCTTGTTTAATAAATTATGTTAACATAATTCACCAACATTACTGGGTAGTATTTTTTAAATGGCAACGTGCATCTCCTTCTCAACATTGACTCTTGATCTGAACTTGGTTTTGATAACCGCAAATGCTGAAAACCCAGCTTCACAAAGGCAGGATATTGCAAAGCAAAGCAGAATTCACAGAGCTCTGTTGCTTATTCCTTGGTACTCCAATAGTATGAGGTTTTTTGCATTGTGCTACTCAGTACACTACTTTGTATGATGAAAAAAGAACTGGGCGCAAAAAATAATCAGGAGGCTTACTTATCAAACAACTGTGAACAGTTTCCAAATTATGTTTCAATTTATTGGTGGGCATGCTCTCAGCAGCCAACACTTTAAGGCAGACACTGAGGACATTCTTCAGTGTCCACAATTGTGCACGTGAAACCGAAATTCAAGAAACTGTCGTCATACTTTCTGTATTTGCATTTCTGTTTCTCTTTAGAAATAGGCTCCATGTCCTTTGCGGTTTTTACTCATATTTAAAAACCTCTCAATTGCGATTGTGTAACAAAACACTCACAAAATGACCACTCATAGAAATATGAAACACTGAAGCCGCGGTCAACTATGCTCCTTACAGACTCTTGTGGCCAGTGTCATGTGACATAGTCTAGCTAGGTAGCGCGTGACTCGTCCATTCTGTGTGCTTGGACAACGGGTTTTGTTCGTAATAAAATTTTTACCTGGCAATACCTTAGACCCCCCCCCGGCCAACAATGACGCCTCCTCTAGGTGGCGCGATGCACAGTTTGGAATCACTGTGGTAAAACGTTCATGCGCCATCTAACAGCACAAATTATGAAATGTAAGAAAAAACGGCACCAAACAAAGTGGAATATGGCGAATACTAATTTATCTTTTACCTCAAGGGCCAGTTAAAACTGGCTGGCAGGCTGTAGTTTGCCCACAGGTGATCTAGAGACAATAGTCAAACATCTGCAGTAGCTAGTGTCAACATTTGTAGTTCTCAGTTTTAAAGCAAGAAAGGAACGGATATGTTTACTTGGCCCTGAGACACTGATCAAAGAAATAATCTGGTTTATCTTGGTTAATTAAGAGACATCAAAAATTGAGGAGCAATAGATAAAACAGACAGGTATAGAGAGAAGTAGAGAGAAGAGAAAAGAAGTTGCAGAGAGAGCGGAGGACACACAGAGAAAAGAAGGAGCAGAGAGGAGTGAATGACGGGAGAGATCAGTAGATATAAGGGAGGTCAATGTTTCGATCAGTCATTAAAACCAGATTTGAGTTTAGTATTTGAAGTTTTGAACTTTCTTTAGAGAGCTTGTTATTCGGATGTTTTGAGGAAACTGATTTTTTTGTATGTAGAAATGATTAATCCCTCCTGGTTAATGATTGAATTTTTAGAAAAGGGAGTTATCCCATTCGTTTTGTTTAATCTGATTCTAGATTGTATTCTGTTCGGTGCAGAAGGCAGGTTTATCTCTAATTTGGGGCCACTTAGGTGTTATACATGATTTAAATACTTTTTCTGCTTGGTCGGGATGAAGGCCATCAAGACACCTTGTTTGTAAATAGTGTAACTTGCATGTTGTATGTTTATGTTGTGTGTTGTTAGTTTGTGTTTTTTCATTATCAATAAATTTTTGTTAAATCCAGTTTGCCTGACGTATTTTTCTTCATCAAAGCTATGCCAGAGAACAAATACAACAGGTGCCTCTAATTATATCAACTGCCCTGGTATATTCTTAATAAAATATATACAATTTGGGGATTATGATTATTTTAATTATAAATTAACCTGTTCAGCCTGTTTCTGGTATTCTAAAATTTTATTACCCCTCTTTGTAACAATACTTTTGTTGCTGGCTGACAGACAATGCTGACGGCGATATCGATGAGTGCCATTGCAACCAATGGTGTTGTACCAGGTAGGATTTCTCTCTTCTTTTCTTTTTTTGATTGTGGTACTTGTGAGATACTAGTGACTGCAATACATTTAGTGATTGATTTTAAAAACAAGCTAGCTTGCTAATTTGTTTACTGGATCTTAGAATGCATTGAAAAAGTATTTTTGCTCTATGATGGATTCAGCTGTGCCTTGAGTATAGAATTTATATATTGGTGTCATCTATAAATTTTAATACCACAGTAGAAGCATAGGTATGTCCACTGAGTGTACAAAACATTAGGGAGGTCTGCTCTCTTCTTGAAATTGACTGACGAGGTGAATCCAGGTGAAAGCTATGATACGTTATCGATTTCACCTGTAAAATGCACTTCAATCCATGTAAATGAAGTGGGGGAGACAGGTTAAAGAAGGATTTATAAGGCTTGAAACTAATTGAGACATGGGTTGTGTATGTGAGGGAGAATGGGCAAGAAAAAAAATTAACTGCCTTTGATCAGGGTAGTAGGTGCCAGGAGCGTGTCATTTGAGTTTGTCAAGAGCTGCAGTGCTGCTGAGTTTTTCAAGCTCCACAGTATCCTATGTCTATCTGGAATAGTTCACCACCTAGAAGATATCCATCAATGGCAGGCTAGTGGTCGAAAATGGCTCATTAATGAAAGAGGTAAAACGGAGGCTGACACAAAAGTTCAGATCAATAGATGGTCTACAGTTAGTCAACTGAAATTCCATAACAACCTTTGGTGTTGAAAGACCCATAAAAAATGCCACAGGCTATCTGAACATCATTGCCAATCGGGTGCATCCCTTCATGGCAGCAGTGTATCCATTTGTGAATGGATTTTTCTGCAGAATAATGCCCTGTGCCACAAGGTTAAGATTATATCGGAGTGGTTCTACGAACGGGACAATTAATTCATCTTAATGCAATGGACTGCGCTGTCACAAGATCTCAATCCAATTGAACATCTGTGGGATGAGGTGGAACAAGCTATTTGGTGTAGAGATCCACTACCAGCCAACTCAATACAACTGTGGGAAGCACAGGATTCAGCATGGGTCAGCATCCCCGTGGAATGCTTTCAACAGCTTGTTGAGTCCAAGCCCAGACGAACTGAGGCTGTTCTGAGGGTAGAAAGGGGCGCACTGCAATATTAGAAAGGCATCCCTAATGTTTCGTACACTCACTGTATGTGCTTTTGTTATTGTACATATTTTAAATGTTCTGTGCTTACCAGTGTCATTTCATAAAATAGTTAGCAGAGTAAAAGATGACTAAATGTGGTATTATAAAGTGCATACAATTGATTTGTGTCATAGAAATTGTCATATTTTTTGTCTGACGGCTGCATTACTGTTCATGTCACAGCTGGTGGCTCTTATTACATGATTTCAAGATCTCTGGGTCCGGAGTTTGGAGGAGCTGTGGGCTTGTGCTTCTACCTTGGCACAACATTTGCTGGCTCCATGTATATCCTTGGTACCATTGAGATCCTACTTGTGAGTATTTGTAAGATTTCAGGAGCATTCAGGATGTACATTAGTGTGTATGTAACCCCACCTAAGCTTGAATATAATTATAATACAATATATGTCTGATATTTTTTTGCCTTTATAATTACTTTCTCAAAGTTTAACCCTTCACGTATGGAGTATTTGGGCTTTCTTCCTGGATTCTGTTGACAGGCTCTGCGGTTTTTCTTATTCATCTCACTCAGAAAGCAAAGGACACCTGCTGCTTTCTCTGGCTGGGCGGGAGAAGCATTTGCTTTTCTGTTGTTGCAGACAATGTATCTGAAACACGACTATGGGCTATTTATAAATGTAGCAAATATTGTTTGTTAATAATGATTTGACAATTATACCACTTCTCTGTAAACATTGACTTCCTTTTTGATGAATAAGTGAGCTCACTAGAACTTCCTGTCTAGGACATACGTGTATTAATGGCTGATAAATAGGATCAGAGTTCAATTAGATTAATTGCTTTAAATACCAATAGTTTTCCCTGCAGTAAAAGAGTGTACAGTATATGTCACTTATTGTTTTTTCCACACTCATTTTGTCCTGCAGACCTATATTGTTCCCAGTGCTGCTGTATTCAAAGCAGAGGAAAAGGAATACGAGACAGTGGCCATGCTCAATAACATGCGGGTCTACGGCACATGTTGCATCATTCTTATGGCACTTGTGGTTTTTGTGGGAGTGAAGTATGTCAACAAGCTAGCCCTAGTCTTCCTGGCCTGCGTGGTGCTGTCCATTTTAGCAATCTATGCTGGAGTCATCAAGACCGCCTTCGATCCACCAGATTTCCCGTAAGTCATCACTTAAAGGCTTTGGTGGTTTGTGTTGTGCTGGACAGGAGAAGCTAAGCTTGACAAATCCTTAAGGCTCCAGTGCATTCAGTGCATGTTATCTATCCCAGTCTTGATTACCTAAAACAAAAATCAAACAATCCTTGTGCATGCCAATACATCTGCATAACGTGCACCACCATGTTGTTGGACCTCCTAAGCAAGAAAAGACATACCACAAGGAAAGGGATTTGATGTGTTTTGATACACAAATAGACTTACAGTTAAATGTTTTGTTACAAAATATTGACACCCTCTAATAACATGCACAAAACCGTGTTTGCATTTGTTGTTGTTCACAACCCTATGTTGATGGTTCTGCATGGGGTTTGTAGTGATTCCATGGACACTACAGTACAAATTTCAGAACATGCCCTCCTGGCTTAGGAGATTGCACTGAAAATAATGATTTTTGTCATCAGATGCTGTTCTTGAAATACAGTGCCTTTCCTTTAGAAAGTCTACATCCCCTTGAAGCTTTTCACATTTTATTGTGTTATAGCACGGAACCATGATGTATGTAACTGAGAATGTTTGCCACTCATCAACAAAAAGTACTCTATAATGTCAAAGTGGAAAATACATCCAGACATTTTACTAAATTTATTAAAAATAAAACACAGAAAATAACTGAATGCATAAGTATTCACCCCCCACCCCCCCAGAGTTAATACAGGTAAGACAACCTTTGGCAGCAGTTACAGCTGTGAGTCTCCTTGGGTAAGTCTCTATCAGCGTTGCACATCTTGACGCTGGAATTTTTGCCCATCTTTCGGGGTAAAATTGCTCAAGCTCCATCAAGTTGGATGGGAACCATTTGTGAACACCAATCTTTAAGTAATTCCACAGATGCTCAATTGGATTGAGGTCTGGGCTTTGACTGGGCCACTCCAGGACATTAACCTTTTTGGTTTTAAGCCACTCCAGTGTGGCTTTTGCTCTATGTTTCCAGTTATTGTCCTGTTGGCAGATTAATTGTCTTCCAAGTCCCAGTGCTCTTGCGGATTGCAGCATGTTTTCGTCCAGGGTTTCTTTGCACTTAGCTCCATCCATTTTTCCTTCTATCTTTATGAAGTTTCTGGTCCCTGCCACAGAGAAGCATCCCCAAAGCATGCTGCCGCCACTGTGCTTCACTGTAGGGATGGTGTTCTCAGTGTAATGAAGTTACATAAAGTTCAATTTTGGTCTCATCAGACCATAGAATCTTCCTCTAAATTGTTGAATCTCTCACATGGCTTTGGGCAAACTCCAGCTGAGATGTGATATGAGTTTTTTTCAACAAACGCTTTCCTCTTTCCTCCCTTCCATACAAGCCAGATTTATGAAGTATGTGTGCTATTGTTGTCTCATGCACAGTTTCTCCCAATTCTGTCATGGAAAACTGTAACTCCTTTAGAGTTGCTGAAGGCCTCTTGGTGGCCTCTCTTTACTACGGTTCTTCTTACCCGGACACACAGTTTTGGACAGCTAGTTCTGGGCAGATTCACAGTTGTTCCATATTTTCACAACTTTTTAATGATGGACTTCACTGTGCTTCGAGGTATATTCAATGCCTTGGACATTTTCTTATACCCTTGCAATGACTGGTATTTTAATTAATTTAATAAAATATCTGGATTTTTTTCACTTTTTTTCACTTATTGAAAGTATTATAGAGTACATTATAGAGTACTATGTTTTTGATGAGTGGGAAAAATTCTCAATTAATTACATCATGGTTCCATGCTGAAACACAATAAAAGTAAAACATTTCAAAGGGGGTGCAGACCTTCAGGCACTGTATACAATTATTATAAAATGGCATTTTAGATGTAATTGGCTTTATTTTTTCTCAATTTTTACTCTTTACTGAGCCTGCTGCTGATCAAAAGGCTCTTTTAGTATCCGTGTCTTTTAAAGTTAAGCTTATAACTTAGTAAGGAGTTTAGTGTTTTATTTGGAGAGGAGTTCAGTTTAAACAGACTTTAACAGTTTATATGTATTGATTCTGGATTTACAGATTTTGAATAAAAAGAAAATACTGCCATCTAGCACAGAGGTGTTATTTTTTTATTTGTAGATGTATCAAATCTTTCTAATTCATCCATCCATTTTTAATTGCTTCATCCAATTCGGGATTGTGAGGGAGCCGGAGCCTATCCTGGCAAACAACAAATGCAAAGACACATTGTGGACAAACTTAATTATGTGTTATGCTTAAGTCTATCAATTGCAGGGCAGATAGACTTAAGCATAACACATACACTCACACGAGGTCCAATTTTCCCAATTGACCTACAAGCATGTCTTTGAACACCTGGAGGAAACCTGCGAGAACTGGGAGAAAATACAAATTCCACGCAGATAGCTCCTCAGGTCCAGAATGGAACCCAGGGCCCCAGTGCTGCGAGGTAGCAATGCTAATTTCTGCACCTCTGTGCCATAGTTACAAATTCATGCTGTAGGTATAAATAGATCCATGTGATTTTATGACTCTTGCAAAGGATTTTGAGCCCAGTTTAGCCTGTGCTGGTGTTAAATTAGAGTAAGCCGTAGGTTGGTGTTAATAAGCCTACTGCAATAGTCACAGCAGATGTTTTTTCTTAGTCCCTGACAACACACAGAAACAGGTGCAATCCTGAACTGATTCAAGATTTATACCAAGCTAACAATCACAAATTAAAAACTCCTGAAAAGTGACTTCATGTATCTATGCAATAACACCTTCAGTCAACATTTTTGATTTTATCTAAGTCTGAACCTAAGACAGGTGTAAATGAATAAAGAAACAGTAAGAAAAAAAAGATTAGGGCAAAAAATAATCAGTATGTGCAAATTAATTGATGAATTAATAAGATCACTTTATTTGCCATATAAAATTTCTTACATTAGGAATTTGTCTTTTCAAATACCCCAGCTTGTTCTCCATGAGACACACAGACAGGGAGAGAGAAGCTTGGGGTCAGAGTGCAGGGCAGGGTCATTGTACAGCACCCCTGGAGCAGCAGGGGGTAAGGGCCTTGCTCAGGGGCCCAATGGAGTAGGATTCCTCTGCCAGCCATGGGATTTGAAGCGGCAACCTTCCAGCCACAGGCTTTTAATAGAAAAATAATAAGAAAAGTTAAGTGCTGGGGCGAGCCAGGATGAATCAATACATATAATTTATTTTTAAACCGCTTTGTAAGATACTTACACAGACAAGGACTGTCTCAATGTGTACAGTATATGGAATTTTAAAATGTTGAAAGCAGGAGTTCTATACTAAACTACATCAGTGCTACTTAAACAAGCCCTGGTAAATTAAATAGTCCACCCTTCAGCAAAAAGAACATTAGAAACAGTCAAACAAGTAAAAACAAATAAAAAGTTATTCCACATTGCGTAAATGAAAAAGGTACATGGATGTGATAAGTGTCTTGAGGCTTCAGTGTTATACAGGTACTTTGCCACACCATAGCACCATCCTTGTCTGCTGCTTTGATAACAATATTGTCCAGTCCTTCATGGCTTTACACTGATGGAGTTCTCCCCTCAAACCTTATTGCATGCATTTGTTATTCAGGCTCTGCTTGCTTTTCTGGTGCAGTGATATCCATTGTGCTGCAATCAATTAACACATTTTCTCTGTGTAATTCTAGTTATTTTTCCAAGTATTCAAGTACTGAATGATGCAGATATTCGTGTTAACCATTATTAACAGACCTGCTGACTGCCCCATACAGATTAAATTGTTTGTTCTCTGCTGCTTTCAGACTAACATTTCATCTGACCATTATCAGATGTGTGCATCAAGTACCATGAGTCTTGTATGATGATATTTAGTGAGACCTGGCTTCAACAAGACTTCTCCGACTCTCTTGTGGAAATTGAGGGGTTTTCCCATGTTCACTCAGATAGAATTGAAACATCTGGGAAAAACAGAGGTGGTGGTATTTGTGTCTTTGTGGTGCAGACAATACTCTGTGAGGCAAATTATCTGCAATACAAATGTTGAGCTTTTGTGCATGAGTCTCAGGCCTTTCTACCTTCCGAGAGAATTCGGTAACATTATTACATGCGCTGTTTACATTTCTTCCAGTGGAAATGCAGCAACTGCCGCTTCTCAGGTAGCCGATTGTGTACATGAGCAACTCTTGCAGACTTCGGAAGCTCTTTTTTTGGGGTGATTTTAACCACTGTTAACTAGAGATGGCATTGACTGAGTTTGAACAGTATATCAAATGTGGGAATTGTTCTAGACAAATGCTACAGTAATATAAAACAAGCCTATACCGCCAAAGTCAAACCACCTCTGTCTAACTGTGGTCACAATACTGTTCACCTCATCTCCACTTAGCAGACAGCTCTCAAGAACAGCAAACCTGGTGCTAAGGCTGTAAACGTATGGACTGATGATAGTATTGAGATGCTGAAAGGGTGTTTTCTTTGCACAGACTGGGAAATAATTCATAACCTGGAGGTTAATGAGGCAACAGAGACTATGACAAACTACCTTCATTTCTGTGTGGACAGTGTTATACCCAAGAAAAGCATTACAGTGTACCCAAATCATAAACCATGTACAGTATAACTAAGGATGTGATAGATTGCATCAACCGCAAAAGACTCGTTTTTAAAAACCAGAATCAAGTGCAACTGAAATTACTGCAAAAAGAGCTTAAACTAAAACTCAGGAATGCAAGGAATCAACACAAGGAGACAATGGAGAGTGACTTTGAAACAGTGAACTCCAGGAGGTTGTGGCAAACAATGAAAACAGTCACATACATGAATTCTTCAAAGAAGAGCTTCCATACAATGGATGAGCTAGCTAAAGCAAATGAGCTGAATGACTTTTATTTGAGGTTTGAGACAAAGGACTTCTCTGGTGCATGTGACAGTATATTAGATACTATAACAGCTGACAGGAGTGCTGGTAGGCTTGTAATAAGTCCACAGATGACCACACAATCTTTCAAGCACATATGCGCGAAAAAGGCAAC